TGTTTGGCTATTTGATTAAAGTATGGTTATTTCTAAAAACACTAAAAAAAAAAAAAGTAAAAAAATAGAAAACAAAATTGATCCCAAACAAGTCCTTAGTAAAATTCTTCACATGTTTTAGTTTTGAACTATATAGTATTATTTAACCGAGCAGCTTCCTTTGCTATTGATTCCATCTCCTACTTCATTGTAAAACAGTATGGTGAAATGGGCAAAGCGCTGCTGCCTGTTTATAATAGCATCCTTCCCGTTAGTGATAAGTTCCATGGGCATGGTTTGGTACAGACCAAAGACTATAAAATGTTAAAACATTTCATGTGCTTGCCATGATTTAAGCTTTCAATCACGTCCAAATTTCTGTTAAAGATGAGTACCATGGGAATTTTTATTTAGGGAAATTTGCATACACAGCACAAAACTCTTATGTATTTACAGGTCTCACACCTAAATTTTCATATTTACATACATAGAACTTCGGTGATTTAAACCCATGCATGAAAATGTATATTTCACTTTTAAATGGTGGTAATAGCATTATTTTTGATGTGAAATTAAATATTAGAGTGTTATGTGTCTAAATATGGAAGTTTAGGTGTGATACATGCAAATACATAAGAATTGTGTGTTATGTAGGTAAATGCCCCTTTTTTAATAGGCTGAAGGGTTTGAAATGTTGAAACATTGGCCGTACATACTAAGATTTAAGCTTTTCATTCACGTTTAGTTTTTTCATTTTGTGGAAGATTAATTGATGTCTTTTGGTGATGGATTTGCAGCAATTTGTTAGGACTTGGATTGAGTGGCACTTTGGGTTACCAGCTTTCTAGCTTGACATCTGTAACTTACTTGTAAGTCATTTCTAAGTCATTTATTCAAGAAAAAAAAAAAAAAAAACTATTTTAGCTTATTTGCTTAATACAATTGATTTATTTGCCATAGTGCAGTGATTTGAGCAAGAACAACCTGCATGGCGACATTCCCTACCAACTTCCACCAAGCGCTGTTCACATGTATGCCGTTTTTCCTATTTTAGAAGTCTATTAAAAGCAGACATTTTGTGCTTACCTTTTTGCATAAATTTTTTACTATATTGACTTAGTTGGTTTATGTGATCTATTAGGAGTTGTAATAGAAAATAATTTATTTTTGTGAGAAATTATGAGAAATAAAATATTTCATTGGATTAAGGAGTTATTTCCTTTTTTATTTTATATTTATTTCCTTAAACTAGGGGTTATTTCCTTATTATTTTAGGTTTTCCTATTTTATGTTATTTTTTATCTCCAAATAATAAATATGATTTAATTATTGGAAATATTAGGTGATGTATATTTCCTATTCATGCTATTTTCTTTTATTATCTTTTATATTGTAGGATTTATTTAAGAGTTATTTATACCCCCTCTTATATCAATAAAATTATTATGTATTTCACTTTCTTCTACATTATTCTGAATTTCAACATGGTATCAGAGCCAAATTTTGTACCTTAACCACGGGTCGTCATTTGAGAACCGTCGAATTCCCTTCCTGCCATCGTCCTTCCGAGAAAGGAGGGACTCTTTCTCTTTGTGCAGGCCCTCGTCGCTTGAACAACGATCTATAGGGACTCCCTTGCTACGATCCCAAGCTGCGGCCTTGCGGGGAAGTAGAGTTGCGACCGACCTGTGCAATCCCAACCCTCTTCGTGATCACAACTTGCGACTACCCTTTGCAGAAGGCAACAAATTGAGAGTATTTTCTCTCTCTAGTGAGAATCATTTTGACCTATCCATCTCTCGGTGACCTGCACCTGTCCTGTGTGATCCCAAGCTATGATTGCCCTTTGTGATCCCAAGTCGCGGGAGCCAGCTATTCCATAATGATTTTCTAGGCTACATTTGTGGATCTCTCATTGAACTGCGCATGACCTCTGTGATCCGCAGTTGTGACCTGCGCCTGCCATCAACTTTCAAAGAGGAAAAATCAAAATTTCTCTTTTCAGTGGAAATCTAAGCGTGGAGACATTAAGGGGGCAACTTTCTCTCTCTAGTAGAAATTCTAGATCTGGTTTTTGAAAGGGATTATCTCAGGACATCGTAATTCTGCAGACAGATCTGTTCCCCGTTGTCGGCTTTCCTTACTGCATATATTTTTCAGCCGTCGAAACTTTGTAAACGTGGAGAAGATGTGTTGGGTGACTTTCTCCCGCCAGAGAAATCCCAGGAAGGGGGAGCTATTTTCCCTTGTCTTCCCTCCATATTCCAGCCACCGAAAATAAGTAAGGAGGACCCCATTTTTTCCCGCTATTTTTTATTGCGCCTGATCCTTACAGCAATCTGACTTCCTGGTTTCCAACAATATAACTTTCTTGATTTTAGCTTTCCCTTGAGGTGCAACTGTTCCGCCGCCTTCCCTGCAGGTCATTCCTGTTGATTTTTGGCCATTGTTCGCTGCAGCAGTTTGGATTCCTAGTTTCCAAGTAGTCCGACTTCCTTGATTCCTAAAGTTACTTGCTTGGCGCCTCTGCTCTGACTTCCATTATTATAGTGAGGGCATTGGGTGGATATATGACCAGGCAGGGAGAGCCATGCATCAGTTTATTTAATTCAGGTATTTTTGTGGCTGCTTATTTGGTGGAAGCCCATTCAAGTCATTATTGTCCTGTCCAATATATTTTTTTGTAGGTGCCTCATTTCTTGCAGTGGAAAGTTTTTTTCTTGATGTTGCAACACTTTCTCGTCAAATTGAAAGGAAGACACAAGAAATTTCATGAAGTTTTATATGCAACAATCATATGTTTCAGTTGTTTCTTTATTAGATGCATCATGATGCGCTTCAATGCATTTGACAAAGCTGCATACATTAATGCATCAACGTCCTACGGAGCTTTTCCTGCAGTAGACCCTTCCTCCGGAGCATTTCTTTTCGGAGTCTTTTCTCCAGAGCTTTTCCTGTAGCATACCCTCATCCGAAACTTGCCTTGCATCAAGCCCTCATCCAGAGCTTTTCCTGTAGCAGACCCTCCTCCAGAGTTTTTTTCTGTATTATGTCATCCTCCAAAAATTTTTCTGCATCTGGCCCTCTTTAGAACTTTCACTGCAGCAGACCCTCCACTTGAATTCTTCCTCCAGTACGTCCTTCTCTGAAGTTTTTTCTGTAACGAGGCCTATTTCTTGAGTTGTTTTTTTCTGCAAACCATACCCTGTAGCTTTTTCTGTTGGCTGTATACTTTTTTGCAAACTCTTCTGCAATATTACCTGTTAGCGTCTTTCGTCTATCTACAAACACTACAAGTACTGCAGTTAAAAGACAATCACTGTTGTCTACTTCCCTACAAACGCCCTTGCAGCATTACCTATAGGAGCTTTTTGTCTACCTACATACATTGCAGGAACTGCAACTGTTTTTGTCTACTTTCCATTAAACTTCCTTGCAGCATTATTTGTTGGAGCCTTCCGTCTAGCTACAGATACTGCAAGAATTTTAGTCAAAGACAACCTCAATGTGGGATACTGAATTTAAGTTCTACATCTCAGGATCTTCCTCGCACATTGTTTGGAGTTTTCAAATCCAAGTTGAACATATTTGAACTTGAGGGGGAGTGTTAGGAGTTATACTAGGAAATAATTTATTACTGTGAGAAATTATGAGGAATAAATTATTTCATTGGATTAAGGAGTTATTTATTTTTCTATTTTATATTTATTGTCTTACATTAGAAGTTATTTCATTCCTATTTCATGTTTTCCTGTTTTATGCTATTTCCTTTTATTTCCAAATAATTAATATGATTTAATTATTTTAGACATTAGGTGATATATATATATATTTCATGTTATTTCTTTTTATTATCTTTCTTATTCTAGAATTTATGTAAGGGTTTTTTATACCCCTTTCATATCAATGAAATTATTTTGTATTTCACTTTATTCCACGTTATTCTGCATTTCGACATATCAAATTATATTAAGTTTTGCATATGATTTTTAAACTGAATATTTGCAAGAGAAAATGATTTTAATGTTAAGGTGGTTCTGATAAGCAGAAATCTTGCTGGGAATGCATTTACTGGTGGGGTACCTTACTCGATTTCAGAAATGAATGACCTTGGAACTCTGTGAGATCGAAGCATGCGTTTTTTTTATTGATTTTCTTACTCTTTTATTATGCACTAATCATGAAAGTGTTATTCTATGATGCAGCAATCTCAGCAATAATCAGCTGAGCGGGCAAGCATCAGATATGTTCGGAAAACTTCGAAAGCTCTATGAATTGTGAGTTTAACATTAATTGATTTCTTGCAAACTTTTGCATGAGCTCGCTATATCCTTTGCATCGACAGGCTTTGTGATCAAGACGCCACTACTGAGACCAATGAATCTACTTTTGTTATTCAATTATTTAATGCCATTTAGACTTTTTGATCATTTTTATTAGTTTTAAGGCTATTTTAGTGGTTTTCTTTTAAGTTTCGTAGTTAAAGTTTATTGTAGAGGATCTTGCTTTATAAGTAGAAATCCGTGTAGTGAATTATGATGTTTTGCTGTGAGTGATCAATGGAATTCTCTTTTATTTGGGTTGTGTGTTCTTGAACTCTTTGGGTTACGGTTTCATTCATTTACGAGACCTAGGTCTTTGGTTCTTACTCCATTCTCGTTATTTTAATCCTCATCTTTTATTTAATTATTTACATCCACTTTTATTTATTTATATTCATCCAATAATCTTTCTAACCCATACATCCCTTCACATTGTTGCTATGCATCTTATTGGTATTAAAGCAACATTTCCTACATCAATGTTACTCAAATTTTTTATCCTTAGATATTCATTACAGATTTCAAGAATTTATCACTAAATTTCTCCTTTGTTCCCCCACCTCATGTTATTCTTCTCTAAATTGAATATTTCTCTTAATTCCTTTTTTCTACCTCATTGCTTAAAATTCTCAATGATTATTTTCTTTATGTTTAAGAGGAAATCAATCCAAAGCAGCTTTTTGTTGAGTAAAAACTCAAAGATTCTCCCTTTACCTGACGAGAACCACAAATTCAAAAGCCTTCAAATATCAATCCATAGCAATATTGACAATTGAAATATCTAACTTATTCGACCAACTTAAACAACTACTTTTCACTCTATATTTTGAGTATGAATTATATTTTTGTTTTCCTTATTTGGCTTGCATGGACACCGTACTGTATGCATATGAACGCACCAGAATAGTGACATACCTCTTTTCATTTGTGATAATTTCAAAGAATCTCATGCTATTTTTTCCTTATACAAAAAGGATGAATGTAAGGTAAGGAAGATAGAACATCTAAATTTAACAGTTCAAATCAAATTAGCTTCAAAACTAGCCGGTCTTTGCTGTGGAAGGCGTCAATTTTTTTCTTATGCCTATTATTATTATTGATTTTAAGCTCTTTTTGTAAGGACATCGATTTTAAATTGGAGCTGGTGAAGATTAGGAGCGTCAATTCGGGTTAGTGGGCGAGGTTTGGGGTTGCCTGAAAATGACCGCATAGGATCAACTTGAACCCGACCTGAAATTTTGTGCTTATTCTGGTCATGTTTGGGTTTTCGGTTTGATTCGAATAATAAATGTGTGAAATTATTTGATTCAAACCCGACTAAAAAAATATTTGGGTTATCCCTCACCCGGATTTTTTGAGTAGATTTCGAGTCATATTGGCACGTGGGGTCAATTTTTGACATCCCTGGTGAATATATTTAGCTGAGTTGGAATGGTTTGATTAAATTTTATTCTTCTATCATGCATAGACCATAGTGTCATGCTTTTGGAACTTTTAATGTACTTCTTGAATCCTATTGCATGCTTTTGGAACTTGGTTCTGATAAATTTTGCTGCATTTTAACACTTCGATGAACCAAATTAATGGTTAGTAAACCTTGAACTGTGTATGCGTGTAATTCTTTTGCTCTTTTGGCGGCACAGAAGCTGGCATAACATTTCAAAAAATTAGTAATGTCTACTAGTTTTCTCATTTGGCATTTCTCTGTATTATATTCCATTATGTGTAAGTGATAATCATAATATCATTACAGTCATTGATATATCTGATAAAAGCTTCGATAACCTTGTAATGTTTTGATTGAATTTATTGATAGATGCTAAGAACTTATTCAACTTTTCATAGAGGATAGGAAGCAGAGAAATTATTACATTACAAACAATGATTATGTCATGTCCATTCAGACATTGAATCTATGACAAATACTATGAAATTCTAATTTGGAATTTATGTTATGCTTGTTTGTTCATTGTAAAAAAAAAATATAGAGGTATATTAACTAATAGCATTTAGCTATGAACTACTCTACGTATACGAAGTCAATTGTAGAGGTCAGTTCAGTACCTTTTGGAATTTAATGTGCCCTTATCTTCCCTTTGAGTGAATAACTTAGCGGCCGTTTGGGATCACTTTTGTTTTTTTATTTTCTTATTTATGTTTTGTTTTGTTTATGTTTTATTTGAAATAAAATGTTAGGTATGTTATAACAAGCTAATTTGTTTTCAAAAATAAAAAATAAAAAAATATAAAAAATCTACTAAACAAATATGTTTTTAAAGTAAAAGCAAAAAAAAAAAAAAAAGAGGTGATCCCCAACAGGCCCTTAGGTAAAGCACTACAAACCTACCTTGATAGAGTACTAATGTTTTATTAGAGTAGTTCATTAATTTAGGTATTTTCTTTGTTAAGCATTACATTATCAATGCAAGACACATTATATTTGCATATGCTAAATTTTGGCTTTGCTCAAACTAGTGATAAAAGTTGAGATTGCTGCAAGTTTTTATCTTAATTAAATGGGCTGCGATGAAGCATATAATTGAATCAAAATATCTATGGCCACAATACTATGGGTAATAATTGAACAACTTTCGAGGTTTTTCCAAAGAAAATGCCAAAAAAATTAATCGTGATCGGGTATTTTGATATTTTCAAAGAGCTTTTCAATGGGTACGATTTAAGATTCAATGGTTTTGTGTATTTATGCATAACCTTAGGTGAAACTTTAGGCCTTATGTAAACTTTAATCATTTTGGTACGATTAAAGATATATTTAGAAGTCACTAGACTCCTTGTGTTATTGCGAACACCATTCTTTGATGCCTCTACAATTATAAAAGAAGATTTACATGCATAGCACTCAATTCTTATGTATTTACTTATCTAACACCTAAACTTCAATTTCACATATGTGCCACTTTACCATGCTTATCTATACATAAAAGGTGTATTTCACTTTTAAAGTTAAAATAATGGTATTTTGCTTTGATATGAAAGATCTATTTGGTATAACTGTAAAATATTAAGCTTGTTTGATTTATAAATACATAAGAATTGGGTGGTTGTCGGCAGCTAAAAGGAGGTTTGTTAAAGTTTGTGGGTTTGGTCGCCCGTAAGAAGCTGTCGGTCGCTAGAAGTGAAGTCCCGTCGCCCGCTTCGGAAGGACGTTTTAATTTACGTATATATATATATATATATATAATTTTAGAA